GTAAGGACAAAGTTTCTCACCAGTCGCTCGCCAGGTGTACGGAATCTCGCCTGGCCTCTCTGCCTAAAGACTTCCTCACCCCTCATAAAAAAGTACCACTCCTTCCAATTCTTGTCACTCGACTAGAGGTCGGTCATGAGGTGAGCCCGATCATGCCTAAGGTTAATTAGGTATCGACCTTTGTCCTTGTCATTTTTCATCAGGAAATACGAATACAGCAACTCGTGCAGCCCAAACATCACCTGGTTCCGCACGTAAAGGTCATTTAGAGCCATCAGTAACCTCTATCTGTTTGGCATAATCTAGGACAGGGCAATCATGAAATGGTACAGGACCTCCCAGACAAAGCGAGGGATAGGAAGCCTTAGCCCATCGTGAAACCATTTCTCATAGGTGCTCACCCAGCCTTTCGCCTCCCAGTCGACCTACTCGTATGACTACAGTGCCCCAATCTCGATGGACTCTGGAATGTGATACATCATTCGGATCTGCCACATATTATTGTCCTTCAATATGGGCAGGTAATCCTGGCTCAGTATCCACTACCTGGCCAACTCGGCTGGTCCTCGGAGCCACTACTGGTGGAGGGTGTACTTTCAGAATCACCAACTCCATTGGAGTCTTCCCCACTCCTCCCCTGCCTCTCCGACTCATCGTCCCTCGGAGTGGCGCCACTCGGTCCGAGGGCAGCCACATTCACCCCAGTCGGTATACCGACCAAAATGCCCCCACCTTCGAGCATCATCGCCATGGTGGGGGCATTCTTATACTCATCTCTAACCTCCCCTTCAGCCCCACTTGAACCGCTCGATCTTGACCTTGACATTAAGCACTCTTTCCACTCGCCCCGGGCGATTGACCACTTTCAATTTAGAGCCTACTCCGTTCTAAAGCCTCACTCACCCTCAGCTACCGATCGACTCCTTATCCAAAAGCCAACACCGCCTGATTCCTACTTGCCCTCAGCTATTGATCGACTCCCTGTCTAAAAGCCAACACCGCCTGATTCCTACTTGCCTTCCACCACTGACTGACTCTCTGTCCAAAAGCCAACACCGCCTAATTCCTACTCGTCATAAGCCACTGACTGCCCAATCCTCAAATGCTAAATTCTCCAACTCTTATTCAAACTTTGACTCGGTCTGAATGATCGAATACCAGCCTAGCTTAAACCTCCGACCACTCAGTCTGAAAGACCGGTCAACCCCAAAGATGTGCTACCATACTTCAAACCTCCCAACTGAACACCATACTCGACTTGGTCAGGTAGACCGAGATGAGCCGAATGGGAAACCTGTATAAATCAACTCCATCTTCTAAAAACCTAGGAAAAACCTAGAAAAGGTACTGTAAACCCAGAATCCTCGATTGCTGACAAAAGATTTTTTTACCTTCTTCGTTCGACCCAAAATTCAAACTTTTTCAAAAATAAAACATGACACCTCCCAAAATTTTCCAAAACCGTTCAAAAATACTCCAAACCCAACAATAACTTCCCAAACTTTGCTCAATCTCTCCAAAAAACGCCGCAGAAAACAAGAAAGGGAACAGAAAAAAGCATAAAGAAACGAGCGTTTATCGTAGAAGTGGCCAAAAATCTCGAAATCCTTCAAAGCTGCGAAGAAAACCCAGAGCACAGAGGAAAACACGAAATGAAGAAAATGGAAATGGGAAGATGAAACAAACGGTTGCCCCCACGTATTTATCGACGAAAAAGTGTCAAAGCTAACACGTGGCAATTTATGATTGGTCATCGAGAACCGCGTGAATTCGATTTTCTAGCCCAAATTCAGAAGATGTCTTGATCATACATGTGTCGGGAGATGGATTATCTAGCTGTGCTTTGTTTTCGAACGGTAACCACTCGCTGGGTTCACCCGATCGAACGGAGTTACCATTGGACATGTTGACTATCCAACCTCGGTTCTCTAGCCTTATAACGAACATTGCTTTAGCAAAACATGAACTCCACCCCCTCAGTCATCCCGACCAAGTGAACCAGCTTTCCCGATTGGAAACACATATACACCCATTCGCTTGGAGTCAACCAATCAGCCTAAGGCACCACCACCAAGTTAAGCCTAACGTATCCTGCTCGGCGAGAAGTACTGAGCAAGCACACCTTCAAGGGATAGTTTGCGCACCCACTCACCTAGTCTATTACACCAAGTGAGGACACCTTCATGAGACAACCCGCATACCCACTTCTCGGCTCGGTACATGGACTAACAACACCTTCGTGGGACAACCCACATGCCCGATCATTTGTCTAGATAGATTGAGTGAGAACACCTTCTAGGGAGGTTTCACTTACTCTCCCGCTTGGAAGGACATACTGAGTGAGGATATATGCATTAGACACTTCATGCTCCCGGTCAACCTAGCATACCAAGCGATTCTAATACGATTAGCTCCACTCCCCCACTCGGTCAAATACACCGAGCGTGTTCATGACTAGGCTTCACCTCCATCCGCCCGGTCTGACGTACCAAATGGTTCACCGGTAATAAAATCTATACCATTCGCTCCCGGGAGCAGAGAAGCAATACGCTCATAAGTTCAGCCGGTCGGTCACGAAGGTTGACCAGATACACCTCCACGCAATGTTTACTCTCTAAGCTAAGCACTCCTTAACTCACAGAGTGGGGGGCAAACTGTTAAGGCCAAAAAATATCCACGGCCCAAATAGGCCCAAAACCGAGGACACCTTCAACAAAGCTGAAAGCTCAGGCCTAATTCCGATGGGGCCCATAACGGAGTTCTACAGATGAGGCCCATTCGGTATGTTTTCTCAGTACCTTACCATCTGGACCTAGGCCTTCTGATCTTGGAATACCTTCTAGACTTACTATCAACTTGGAGCCCATAGTCGCCTACGAACTACAGTACTACTTGACCTCTATTAAGTCAGTTAATCACTATCCTGATTTGTCTAAGGCCTATGTTCTAGGCATGCGAAGACTCCCTTTCCTACTGAGATAAGGGAGCCAAAGGCTCCACCCTTTCATAAAAAACACCACTGCAAGGACTCCCAGTCCTACCAATATTCGAAAACCTTGTAGTCACTATTTAAACAGAGGTCAGCCCTCTCATAAAGAATGAAGACATTACACCTTCAGACCCTGGAGTTCCCACTTAAGAACTTCGTATTACAGTCGTAGTCATAGTCCTCGACTAGACTTCTGGTAACCTTTCCTTTCCCTAACCCTCACTAAACTAGCCTCATTCAGCCTTGCTGAGTTGAGCGTCGGAGTGCCTATGGCAAACACCACCCGGTATTTTCTGTCTGCTTCACGCTTGTTTCCTTACGTGTGCAGGTGCAGTAGATCGCTAGTGGCCTCAACCTCAGGGGATCAGTCCCCCTTTCCGTACAAGTAGATTTTTGCATCTACAAATTGCATATCAAATTATAAACTCCCATTTAAATTTGATGTCAGCTACTCAGTTTCATTTCTCTTCTCAGCTTCATTCAACCTGAAAAAAAAAAAAAGAAAAAAAAAAGCAACCCAAATAAGAAATAATTTTGACAATGTGATAGGATTCTCTCCCAACTCAATCAACCCAATTACCAAATAACTCAATAAGAACAGTAAGCAAACAACCAAGAAAACCCAGAAAATAATCCAGCAACACAATCAAATAAACTACAATCAAACAAAAGAAACAGATAATGAAACTAAATTTGTTTCTATGCTTCCTAAAATCACAATCTGTAGGAAGTTGTTGGCTTTATCAATTTCAAGTTTCAACCAAGCAGCAGCACAATTTTAATTCCTAAAATCACCCATAGAGAATTTAGGTTATTTACTTATTTTGAAAAATAATGAAAACGTCCATGGGCAATTATGTACTCTAAAAATGTTTACATGTTACAGAGGCTGAAATCGAAGATGAACGAAGGTCGATGATGATCCGTTGGTCAAAGATGAAAGATTCAAAGAAGATCGAACAACGAAGGTCCATAATGATTAAGTCGAAGATTAAAGAAGATCAAAGAAAAGAAAAAAGAAGTCGAAGGTGAAGGTGAAAGATTCAAAGAAGATCGAAGAAAAGAATATCGAACAACGAAGGTCCAAGATGATTCAGTCGAAGATTAAAGAAGAACAAAAAATGAAGATTCAAGAATGAAGAGGTATGCGCCGTCAGCGAGAACGAAGGAAGAAGAGAATGAGATGCGAGTTAGCGATTAGAGAATTAGATTTAGGGTTTTTAGTTTTTCAACTTTTGTGACTTGGTTTTTTCTACTGTTCGGTTGGACCAGCGGTTTGATACTATTAAGCCGGTCTAAAACGGTTCAAAGGTTAATTCCAATTTTTATTCATCTTTGAACCGGATTTAGTTCCGAAACCTGGTCGGACTCGTCCAACCGGCCAATCCGTCCCGTTTTTAGAACAATGCTTTTATTCCCTTCAACTATTTAAAATTTTATTTCTAATTTATTTTTAAATCTTAAAAATTGACTTCCGATTCAGATTATCGAAATGACCTAAACTGACTCAACTCGGGTAGACGATGTCATGATGGCAGGGGGATATGCAAGACTTTTAAAAAATCCTGGGGGTGTTATATTAGCTCTTCTCCAAGGAGGGTATGCAATAACCCGATTTGGGGAGATAAATAGTGTAGTTATTTTAGACTAATTTCCCGAAAGTGAATCCACTCTGATACACTGTACCAAAACGCACACATTGTATATCTTTTCCTAAACGGATTTCTTTCTTATATTTACAACTAGTTAAAAACTTAAAATAAAAAAATAAAACCTAGGCTTAAGGCAAAGTGACGATCCACAAGACGGATAAAAATTGGGCCGTGAAATCATCTAATCCAATCCTGGTACCAAGAAAATCAAGCTTTAGAAAATAAAAATAAAATCCACCCTCTGCTCTGTTCTCTCTCCCTTCTCTCCGTAGGGTTTTCTTTTCTTATTCACTCCGACAGGTAATCCTGTGCCTTTTCATCCTTCACATTATTCTTTTCTTCATACTGGGTTATTTAGTTATCAGTTAATTAAGCGGTGTGTTTGATTTTCTAATCTCTTTTATGTCTGAAATCTCGCTTCTTTATTTTGTCATATTGTTTATGAATTAAATTACATGGTTTGGAGGAGTGTTAATTGTTGAATGGATTTATAACCCCTTTTTCTTAGTTACAGGAGGTGATTTGTATTGAATTAATAGAATAAACAGTAATGGGTGAGAGTGGGAAGCGATATCGTCCCCGGAGAGATTATGATGGGGATAGCAAGAATCAGAAGAGACGCCTAAATGATAAAGATGAAAAGGGTAGTGATGATTTGGTTGTTTATAGAATACTTTGCCCAGATGTTGTTATTGGAAGTGTTATTGGTAAAAGTGGTAAAGTTATAAATTCAATTAGGCAAGAAACAAGAGCAAGGGTGAAGGTTGTGGACCCTTTTCCAGGTGCTAAGGATAGGGTAATAATAATTTATTGCCATGTTAAAGATAAGGAGGATGTTGAAGTTGATGATGAGTTAAATGATAAACAGCCTTTGTGTGCTGCCCAAGACGCTCTTCTCAGAGTTCATGCTGCAATTTCTAATGCACTGGCTAATGCCACTGATACTGATAAGAAAAGGAAAGATAAGGAGGAATGTCAAATACTTGTTCCATCTAGCCAATCAGCAAATATCATTGGTAAGGCTGGGACGACTATAAAGAAATTGAGGAGTAAAACAAGGACCAACATTAAGGTTACTGCCAAGGATGCTGCAGACCCGACTCATTCATGTGCCATGGATTTTGACAATTTTGTTCTGGTTAGTGCTAGAGACATTCAAACCTCTTTGAAATTTCTGCTTTACAGTGGAAGTTTTATCTTTTTTAATCAATGATTTAGTTAAAGCTTGGTTATTACATCTCATTCTGTAGTTTCCTTTTTGGTGGTTGTGGCTTAAGTGTTATGTTTGTGTTTGAATCAGATAAGTGGTGAATCAGAAGCTGTGAAGAAAGCATTATTTGCAGTTTCTGCAATAATGTACAAGTTTTCTCCTAGGGAAGAGATTCCTCTTGAAACAACCGTGGCAGAAGCTCCTCCAAGCATTATCATTCCATCAGATGTCCCTATTTATCCACCAGGTGGATTGTATCCAAATGCAGATCCTATTCTCCCTCCTAGATCCGTTCCTTCTATCCTAGGTGGTACACATGTACCAGATCTTCAGGGTTATGCTGATTCAGGGAATACATGGCCTGTATATTCAGCAGCCCTTCCTGTAATTTCTGGTCTTGGTGGTGCCTCTCGATCTGAGGAGTTAGTCATAAGAGTTTTGTGTCCCTTTAACAAGATTGGCCGTGTCATTGGGAAGGGAGGGGGTACCATCAAAAGTATAAGGCAGGGTAGTGGTGCTCAAATTGAGGTTGATGACACTAAGGACAATCGTGATGAATGTATCATTACGGTCACTGCAATTGAGGTATGGTTCTTGTTTTTATCCCTTTCTAGTTTTTTTTGAACTTATTCATTTAGTACTAAAGTAGGCACAAGATGAACAAATTTTGTCATTAATTTTTGTTGTTGAAATATTTACCTTCTTTTATGATAAGATATCATCAGCGTAAAATTTTGGGGCCTCTTTTTATTTTTGTACAAATCTTGAATGAGTCTTGAAATGCTTGACCTTTTGACCTAGTATTATATATGACTTATAATACTATTAAGACTAAGGGGCAATGAAAGTAACAGAAATTAGGCCAGATGTTCAAAATCTCGTGCTACTTCATCTTCAATAGAATCTGGATTTGTTATGGTGAATTGGTCATCCTTCCTTTAGAGAAATCCAAATGTAATATTCTAAAATGTGTTAGAAAGTAAATTTAAAGAGCTTTCCAATGATACATGTAGAGATTTTTGTAGTGTATGTGTGGAGAACTTTTCTATCCCCTAGAGATTTTTTTGAATTTTGTTGGTACCTCTTATTTGGGTGATAATTAAAAATGTCCTTAAGAGGGAAATTTTTTGGTAAAATATTATTAAAAATTGGTTATGAAATTATGAAAAAATCTCTTTGGGAGGGGTACTTTTAATGGTTTCTAAAAATATTGGGTGAAGATAAATTCAAGGATCTCTCAAGGGGTCCATAATAGTTACTCTCTATCAATTAAGTCATTGGAAGCTATTTCCAAGGATATCCCTTTTTCTTTACCCACAAAACCTTTGTTGTTGGAAATGCAAGGATGTTTCTTTTTGGGAAGAGAAGTGGATTGGAGACTCTTCCCATATAGATCGTCTTTCTGGAAGTGCCAATATTTATTCTAGAGTGTTTTCTTCTCCTCTTTTGAATTGGAGTTGGTTTCTTAATTGTAAAAGAAACTTGAATGGCTGGGAAACTATAAAATTGCCCTAACAGTTTTGCTAGATAATGTGTCAATTGATAGGATGTAGAATTATATAAGGATTTGGAAGATATAGACTTTGGGATAATCTTACAAATCATACTTAATAAGGTAGGTTTGTCACAGATCTTAAACCTTCTATATGATTTGGAAGGGTAGAGTACCTCCCAAATTCTGAAGTTGGTGCTTTACCAAATTCTTATGTTTTTGCATGGCTGTGTACCCAAGGAAAAATGGATACTTGAGAGCTCATTCAATCAAAACACTGCAATATGATACTATTACCATCTTGATGTGTTTTGTGCAAGAAAAATGAAGAATCATCCAACCATCTGTTCCTGCATTGTGCTGTGGTCTCTACTTTGTGGGCTTTATGGAAATAAGTTAAAATTTTATGGTTTAGCCTGGGCTATTACAAATCTTTTCTTTTGAGAAAGTGGAAATACTAAGAATAATTGGAACTTCTTTAGTCTACTTTGCGTAAGATGGCAAGAAAGAAATTATGGTATCTTTGAAGATAGAAGTTGGAAGATATTAATCTCTTGTGGAATAGAGTTTATCTTTTTGCTTCTATATGGGCCTTAATTCCCAAAGAATTCCATGATACATATTTTTTATCTATTCACTTAAATTGGGCAGGAGTTTTGGATTAATGTTTCTTTTTTATTTTTTGGGATACGACTGTTTTGATGATTAATACTCTTTTTGGTGTCTTTTTTTTTTTTCCCCCCCTTCTTTTTTGGTTTTTAATAGATTGTTACCCCCTTAGATGGAGGCTTTTGTTTCTTGGTGTAAACCTAGTACACAGTTGCATTTTCTTCTTTCAGTCTCTCTCTCTCTCTCTCTCTCTCTCTCTCTCTCTCTCTCTCTGTATATATGAGAGAGAGAGAGAGAGAGTTAACTCCACTAACTGTTGTGATATAAAAATATACAAAGTCCTTTAAAGAAACTATTTTAATCTGGTATCTATTATGAACATTTTGATTTTGTTTTCCCACTGATGTGCATGGTATGGTATGAATTTTCTAACTTTTATTGTTCATGTGATATTTCTACTATTTGGCAGTCACCTGATGATTTAAAATCCATGGCTGTTGAAGCTGTTCTCCTGCTGCAAGCAAAAATAAATGACGAAGATGACGACACCGTTACTGTCCGATTCCTTGTTTCTTCAAAAGTTATTGGCTGTATAATTGGAAAGAGTGGTTCAATAATAAATGAAATTCGGAAGAGGACCAGAGCTGATGTCCGAATTTCCAAAGGGGAAAAACCTAAATGTGCTGACGTAAATGATGAGCTTGTAGAGGTCTGTTTTACAATTTTCTTTAATCCTTTTCTTCTAAGTTCTGTCTGCTGCTTTTTCTTCTATTTGCTACAGAAGTTTTTTGTGTATCCGTGCTTAGGTGGTTGGAGAAGTTAGTAGTGTGAGAGATGCTCTTGTTCAGATTGTTTTAAGACTTCGTGATGATGTCTTGAAAGACAGGGATGCTGCTCGTAACCCTTCTGTCGGCTCTGATTCTATGTACTCAGGTGGCGCAGGGCTTTCGGTGCCTCCTCTCTTGTCATCTGGTCCCCCAGTCACTCAATTGGGTTATGATCAGAGGGCTGAAACTGGAAGTGGCCTAGGCATGCTTTCCTCTAGCAGCCTCTATGGATATGGATCATTGCCGGTATGCCATCGTTTGGCTTCTGAGTTATTCCATCATTTGCATTTTTTCGCTGTCAATAACTTTGGTTTCCTTACCATGTTTAAATTATTTTATTTGATGCTCTTCTAGGCTTTGTGGCTGAGTACTCTATGATCAGAAAAACTGTTGTAAATTAATTGTTTTATGTTTGTGTGTGACTCATTTAAATCATTTTTGGTGGTCAGCTACTTTTGGTTTTCATGTCCCTCTCAATCATGTTTTCAAAGATTGCAATAATCCCATATATTAATTCAAAAAATTTCACGTTTCTGGTGAATTCTGCAACAGTTGTATATTTATGCTGGTTCTTTGCTTTCATTCATGGTGGATTGATTGGAAGTATGATCAAATAAAAATTATATAGTTATTAAGTACCATGACTCCATGAGAGTGAAATCATTCAGATTATTTTTCAGTCCTCTTGTGTTGGTCCCTTCCTAGATCATAAATATCTATCATTGGGCAGCCTTTTTTGTTTTTTGTTTTTTTCTTATTTGGCCTTTAGGTTTAATTTCATGTAAAGGTTTAATTATGCTCTTGAATTGAACTAACAAAATAGATTATGGTTTTCTCTTTTTTATTTACTCGGTGAGTTTTAGTGTTCTGCTTAGTAATTTTCAGTTATGGTTTGAAATTTAAAATTTTACGTTCTGCTAAGTGTTGATTTTATGTTGATTTGATTATTTTTGATAGATTGGTGAGAGTACATATGGATCCGTGTCCTCGTATTCATCCAAGCTTTATGGAGGGTTAGTATGTTGTGTTTGGAAATGTTTCGTCTGTCTTGTACACCTTCCATTAACATCAACTTTGTGATATTGTGCATTTATTCAGGTTGCCGCCTACCTCAGCTCTTGAGATATTGGTTCCTGCTAATGCAGTGGGTAAAGTGATGGGCAAAGGAGGGGCAAATTTAGCTAACATTCGGAAGGTTGGTCCATTTCTCTCTCACATAATTTGTTACAGAAGCTAATGTTTAGCTGAGTGGCTAACTAACCAAAACCGAGATGAAATTCACTAGTACGTAGAAACAAGAGAAGCTTGAAAGAACTGTAAATGTTGGCTCTGTTTTGGTTTGTTCTAGACTAATCCCCATGACTTGTGGTCATTGATTAATCTCTAAATTTTCTCAAGTGTTAATTAGGTATGGGACCTTGATAATAATTTTCCTTGTAGAATCTGCTTGATAGGATAACATCCTTACACTAGCTTGTTTCCTTTCAGATATCAGGAGCAATGATAGAAATTTCTGATTCCAAATCTTCCCATGGTGATCGTGTTGCTCTAATTTCTGGTAATCCTGAGCAGAGACGTTCAGCTGAAAACTTGATTCAGGCATTTGTAATGGCCACATGAGTTGTGAAGAAACTTCTTGATGTTTGAAGGTGAATAGTTAGAGTTTTCGAATTCTCCCTAAATTTATTTGCGCCCCATAGTTCCTTTAGGTTTGATCTGGGGAGGACGTCATATTCTAGGCTACTTCAACTGGACTCTTCCTGTTTCTTCCATAACAGTGCCTATCAAGATCATGCTGGAAGATTCACTGCTGGTTTAATATATCCATAGGAGTTAGGTTCCTTCTCTGTTGCTTAATCTATTCTTCATCTGCGGAATCATAGTACTTTTTAGGATCTTTCTATCCTTGCGTAATAATAGGTCTTATCTTTGAGTAGTTGGGAGTCCATCGTATTTCCAGTTTTTTTATACTCAATAAATTTGATGTGTGCGCAAGGAAATGTTTTTTCAACCATAATGTCAAACTCATTATATTTGTGTGATATTTTCTGGTCATTCAATCTCTTGCCCTCAGCTTCTTGCGCAAAGGATCTTTTTCCATGAACTAGACAAAATCTGATGCTGTTGGTAATTAATCCTTTCACTCAGTAATCTTCTTGCTCATTTGTGCAGCATTAAAGAAAGAGATTTGACCCCTGGAATTAAATAAATTTCCAACAACTCTATGGAACATTGAGTTTTTCCACCCGTTTCATTATTCTTAATCTCTTTCAGTGTTCCTGGTTTACGAATAGATTGATGCGCCAATTAAATCATGAACTTGCTATGTGATTTCTGGGTTTTAATTGCATTCAATACCCTTATTATCTTTTATTTCCATCAGTTTCACATTGTAATTCAGCTTCTCGCTGTCACTGAAATCTATTGGCATTACACTTCTGATTTTTCTCAAAAAACTTACCCCATAAACTAATTTTGATTATATTTGCCAGTTTTTGGTTTATGTGGAGTAAAAAATAAGTATATGATTTTTTGGGGCTATTTTAAAAAAAAAAAAAAAAAAAAAAATTCCTTTTTTCATATTTACATTTGAAATCCTCGCTTGGACTTTGCTAGCAAAAGTAGAAAGTAGGAATTTGAATTCACCAGTTATGACCTCAGTCGCTTCTGTTTACTGGGTTATCGCTTTACAGCTCTCTTTTAAGTATCAGAACTCAATTAAGCCTAGTGATTTGAAACAGTATTAAAAGTTAATTATCACATTCTTGCTGTTTTCATGTGCTGCATAGATAATTTTGTGGATAATTATTTTTGAGCTCTCCTTCCTGTCTCTGTTTCTATTGAGATTTTTCCTATTCAAATACTGTCCGATTGGCTATGATTGAATTAGTCATAGCGTACAAAGTACACTTGATTAATTTAGCTCACAACAAAAGTATCATCAGAGTGGTATAATCTTGGCTTCATTCAATCTTTCTATCTTCTATGATATCTGTTTTTTATTCAGACTCTTCGTATTCGAATACTCGGGCTGGCTATGACCATACTTGTCATAGCACCCTAATAAACTTAGTTAAATTATTACACCAGAAGCCTCAGAGCTGCAGAGCACTGGTGCAATGCTTGCTTCATTTAACTGTGCTATCTCCCATTTTCATATAATGTTGTCTCACCGTCTCATATTTAACGGTGAAAATTGGTCGTGTACAATCAGACTAAAATTTTTTTCCTGTGATAAAGTTTGATATGTTCTTTTATACTTTATTGATCAAATTGGTTCAGCCAATTCACAAGCTTGCTCCTTGCTGGTCCTTTTATTCCTCTATTAGGATCTCTTTGGGTAGGGCATAACTTTAGCGCATCAGACTGTTTTACTTAAATTTTGGTTATAGTATAGTTGTTTATCAGGATATTATAAATGTTGCATTCATTTGCAACAGTTATTTTGTTCCATCGATGTCTCCCACAGCAGTGACTATATCAACCAATGGCATCTAGTTAGTGTCTATTCCATTTTGTGCAGATGTGGATGTCTTCCATGTCTACTTTTATTTGTATTGTGGATTATAATTATATGGGACTTCTAGCGTTCCTTATTACCTCTGTGACTGTTCCATTGGTGAACAAGCTAAGGTCAAAATCAACTGATCTTACTTTCATTGTGTTTTAGGCTGTCTGCTTGTTTCGCCTTGCAGAATTTATATTTAGGATTGGACATTGTAGACTACATCTTGTGCAGTTAGATAGTTAATGTAGTTCAGATTTTATTCTACATTTTAAGAGCTATTGAGTATAGGACTTGGCTTAGCCATATTTGTCATATTGTTTATTGGAAGCTGTGTTTTTTCTAGTGTTGGGTTTATGAAATGATGCTTGTGATTTATTTTGGAAGGTGCTCTTCGAGAGAGCTGCACTTGTTGCTGTTAGATCATTTTGTATGTTTACAGGAAACTGTTGGTTTCAGGCCATGTAATGACTAGATGCTTCTCTGGGTTGTTACTGGAATAAATGTTTTTGTTTTGCCTTCATTAGAGCTCTTTGTATGATAGAACTTGAAGGTTGCGTGTTGTGCTACTATGCTAAAATGTTTATATATCAACAATTGCTAAGCAGAAGGGGGGAGAATGTAAGGATTTTTTACTTTTATGGACTTGTAAAATGCAATTTTATTTTTTTTCGGGGTATAATTTAGTGGTACATTTAATGTTACAAAAAATTAAAAAATAAAATAAGTGTTCCTGAAATGAAATTGTAGCAAACATGGTAAGATAGTGGAAGGTTGCAAAGGCACCACCTTCTGTTTATGTGATTTCCAATGCAATTTAGCTGCTAACTACTACCCTATCAGTCAAGTTACTTATTATATCATATCAAAAGTAAATATTACATCCCGAAAGTAAACTATAGTTTTGTTGTAATATAAACCTTATAGTTTCGAAATAACTTTGTTAAATAAGAAGCATTGTTTTTTTTTTTTTTTTTTTTTTAATGTTTATATACTTTCATCATCCACTCATAATAAATTGGTTAATCTTTTTGTTACTAAGTTACATCTATTAGATACAACATGAACTCATTCCTTAAAAGCGGATTTGGGTTTCATTAACGGGTCAACATGTTAGTAACATATTTCATAACAGGTCGTGTTCAGGTTTCTTTATTTTATAATTATATATTTTTAATCATTTTAGTAATACTAATAAACTATTTAAAATATATAATACATAAGTTATTTATTTATTTTTAAAATTTTCAACCTAATTACTCTAGCATTCTTCTTAATTTCAATTCTTCAAAGAAAAGACTCATTTTCACTCCTAGTCATTATTTTCAATCAATATATGTAATATTTGAATGAGGTTTCAGTGATGAAACTGTAGCAAAAAGACGGATTATATTTTGTAAGCTATATTGAATTTAAGAATTTAGACTATATATATTATTAGTATTGTAAGGAGAAAAAAATTACAATTGGGAGTGAGATTGTATGATTAAGAAGTTTTTATACATTTCAATATTTATGTGTTTAGGTATATCATATATGGTTCAATATTATTTATAAGTTATATTAATTGCTTAATTATAATGTTTATTAAAAATTGGGGAAAGCTTTTAATGGGTCGGTTTGGGTGTGAGTTTTTCATGTTTAATCCACACACTAACAACCATTGCTAGTATGAGGTTTGAGTTTCCAATACATCGTAGCTTATATCAATTTTAATAAAAATAGGTAGGGACACAATGGTATTTTTGAAAAAAAAAAAAATTCAATTTCTTTGCTTCTTGGGAGTTTGGTTGTGATGGGGTTACTCGGGATGTAAGTGACCTCCTCTTTTGACATTTTGGAGACTGGTGGTGCTACAAAATCCCTTTCGCTTTTGGATAGTGTGCTTTTGTGTTAATTTTGGACTCAATCTTGTAAATACCCATGTTCATGGACTTATTTTTGCAAATGTTTATGCATATGGTTGGCACTTTTGGATTCTTTTGAACCTAACTTGAGGCATGACCCGTGGTAGGACCACTTCTTATATTTATAGTCTCTTTGGTTCCATTTCTTTGCAAAAAGAAACGGAAAAAAAGATAGATTAGGATAGTCTTAGATAAAATCATTATTTGTCCTAACCAGGTCTATTCTGAAGTACGATGGCTGTTTTCTAGGCCTCTTGTACATTTTTTTCTACTTTTTTATAAAGCTTACTTATCCCAAAAAAAGTTGTCAAGTGCCAGGGTTCAAGGGTACAATGTGATGATTTCACACAAAACGTCTCTAAGCGGCAAATTATCTAAACCTGAGGGTAGTTTTTGAATTTTGTGGTAACAAATTTGTTAGATTGAAGTGCAGGTGTCATTTGAGAATTGGCCTTATGATGCTTTTGATGAGGATGGGCGATGGTGCATTCGTTGGTGGGATATTGGGTGGATTAGAATGTCGTGTCACGGATCAGCTTTGGGATGCAAGCCAAAACGATTTGTTAGAAAAGGAGATAAACACAAACATCCTTATTCGATCCAGCAAGAGATAATTGAAATAATTACACTTTCACATTTGTTTATAGATTATGCTTCAACAAGAAGAGGATTGCAGGTTTGTATGAAAACTTTGCAGGAGGAGTTATGGGGTACTGTGCCTGAAAACGCAACTCCTTCCTCTTCCCAACAACTCATCAACTTGGAATATGAATATAGCGCCCACAAGTCAGTTTCTCATCAAATCTCCTCGTTTTTTTTTTGTTTTTTTCATGTTTCAGTATATTCTCTTATTTAACAACTCATCACGCAGTAAATTGGAATGATTTGACAAGTTTAAGTTCTATTCTAGAAGCTCAATTAAATAAATTATTCATTGGTTCCTAAATCCCGAACATCTATTGAAAGCAGCTCATCATTATTTATCATATTTACACTCATGTCCATATTACATTATTGCCCGTATCTCAATCCCCAATTCGTTGCTCGAGCTTTTTCATACATTTTTTTTTCTTGGTTTTGTCATTCAACATGAGATGGGTTATCTGATGCTTTTTTTCTTGCTCAGATTATAACTAAAGCCACTTGGTGTAAAAAATGCAGTTACCACCCAGTTCCTGTCGTATTCTCTCAGGCAAAGGGATCATCCATATGGGATCCAGAAGGCAACAAATATCTGGATTTTCTATCTGCTTACTCAGCAGTTAATCAGGTATTAACTTTGGTATTATTATGCTTTAATTTTGTACCTTTGAGTAAACCAAAAATTTATTTTTCTGTTTGGATATTGTGAAATTTTCTTGCCAAAAGCATGGCGACAGTAGATGAATTTTCTGTTAAAAGAAAATTTAAAGTTTGAATTTCAACCTTTTGTTTTCCTCACTGACAGCTTTTTTGTGTCTGTACTAGAGTAAAGTGCTGAGGTCTGTTCTCTGCCAGACTTATTGCAGAAGCTTCTGATTCGAACTCTTCTTTGTATTGAATTTGACATTGACCTTTTATAGTCAACTTGTAATTTCCTACTGTAGGGACATTGTCATCCAAAGATCATGAAAGCATTGCAAGAACAGGCAGATAGGCTTACTCTCAGTTCTAGAGCCTTCTATAATGATAAATTTCCAATATTTGCAGAGCGTCTAACAAGTATGTTTGGCTTTGATATGGTGCTACCTATGAACACTGGTGCTGAAGGTGTGGAAACGGCTCTGAAATTGGCCAGGAAGTGGGGTTATGAGAAGAAAAAGATTCCCAAAGATGAGGTAGATTCTTCGACAACTAAACTTCTTTTGAGAATGTGTAACGACTTTAGTTTTTGTGTTCTTGAATTATTCTTTGTGGGGGCATATAGAACTCCATTTACTTGATTTCTTGTAACTCAGAGCTATTTTTGTCCTTTGGCATCACATGATTCTTTTTATGTTCATATAATGTAATAAACATAGGTTAATGGCTAGAATTATATGTGTGGTATGTTACTATATATGAGAAAACAAGAAATGAGAAGCTTAGGTTGGAGAAAGGTTGATGTTAATCTTTTAGTAGATCTGTAAAAAATAGAATCATAATCCTCTTTTTTTTCACATTCACCAGCTTAACTTGAAGTTCTGCTTTCTAGAAATTCTGTGAATAAGATGCAACTAATTCCATAGAATTGCCACAATCTTCCTTCATCTGGAGGTGATGGATTTTTTAACTTGGAAGCAATGAAGCTTAAAAATGAATTATACTTAACTGGCTGTATGTAGTACATGTGGAACAGAGTGGAATAGTGAGGAATTTGGTATGTCTGGGACAACTTCATGGCCTTACTTATATTTTTGAAACCTTTATGTGGAATGAAATCATCCACACTGCTGCTGTCATTGGTCTTTATCAAACATGATCAGATTATCTTGACCATTTTATTTGTTGTACTAATTTGTTACGTGATACAATTCTGAAAATACATTTACCTCTTCTTTATGTTGTTGTCTGGGCATTCTTTTTTACTAACATTTGAATATGGATTTGTTAAGGCTGGTTAAGGAGAAACAGGAAGTTTGGAAATGTATCAGAAATATTACCTACTTTAATATCCTTGTTTGTTATTAGACGTGACCTCTTAGAGATGACCAATGAGTTGTGTTCCTGTGTTCATATACTTCTATTTGGAATAAGCGTCCCTTTTATTTCTTTTTAGTGTAGATTTTCACTTATTAACTTCAAAATTTTGATATTCAGGAATTCTTATTGTTGTTCAACTATTTTTAATTTGTTCTGTATATTTGATGTTGTTCTGGAAGAATATGTACAGTTAAAGTATTTGTTTCAGTTCTTTACTCAGACTGATAGATATGCAGGCTATTATAGTTTCTTGTTGTGGATGCTTCCATGGCCGCACATTGGCTGTGATTTCTATGAGCTGTGACAATGAGGCTACTCATGGTTTTGGGCCATTGTTACCAGGCAATCTCAAAGTTGATTTTGGTGATGCGGTTGCTCTTGAGAAAATATTTAAAGGTGTCAATACACCATATCTTCCTCCCTCTCTCTCTCTCTGTTTATATCCTATTTAGAGCTCGTTTAAGAGGCCTATCTGTGTAAACATTAGTTCATCTGGAGTGCTTTGTCATTGGAACTTATTAGTTTTCTTATGGTTTGCAGAAAGTGGAGAACGAATAGCTGGATTTCTTTTTGAACCAATTCAAGGAGAGGCTGGGGTATGTGTTCTGGAGTATTTTTTCCCTAATTTCAGGTTTATGAAATCTGCTATAAGAGCTTGCTGACTGCTCAGCTGTCTCTGGGATAGACCAAGATTTCCTTGTAAAATGGAAGCTATTGCAAAAGGAATAAGAGAATATTAATGTAACCATGCATGGAGTAGTCTGTCTTTGTTGGAAACATCTGATGAATGCATTGATAACAACATACATGTTCAAAGCATGTTTCATTATAGAATGGGATAAAGTTTTGTCCCATATAATTACTTTATGATTGTACATAGCCTTGTTCTGAAAAAAATGATAAGTTAATTTATTCTGGACAAAGAACTACAACTGTTAATTTCCTTTCTTCACATATATAACCCTTAGGTAGCATTATCATCATTTTTCAATTTAGTGGATAAAGAGATTTTTTTTTTCTCATCTTTTTTATTTTTAAGATTCTTTTTCCTCTGTTCATGAGGTAGGGGGATGGCAGAAGCTGCTTGTCCTGCTTCTTAGATTGAGCATTTTTCTGTAAATGTTTAAATTTCCTTATATTGTTAGGAACAACTTGTTGTTTTGGCTAGGTTATAATTCCTCCGGATGGTTATCTAAAAGCTGTTAGAGATCTTTGCACTAAGTATAATGTTTTAATGATTGCTGATGAAATACAAAGTGGCTTAGCAAGGACTGGAAGAATGCTGGCTTGTGATTGGGAAGAAGTCCATCCAGATGTAGTGGTAAGGTCCTCTATTTTTCACAGGTTTTCAATTGTTGGATGTGAACATGAAATTGTTTATTGTTCCCTTTGATATCAATTTCGTGGTTGCCACTATAGATTGGTTTGTATGAGTGTTCAAATAAGTTATAAGATGGTTGATCGACAAGTTAGTATTTTATTCAGGAGTTGTAGCAAGGCCTAAAAGCAGATGCTGACAGGGACATGCAACTTATTTGATCATTTTAACCATTATGGAAACATCAGAGTTATTATATCAAAATCTGTTGGGACCTGAATTGCAAAATGATAACAGAAACATTTTCCTGCAATTTGATTTATTAATCAAATTAGTACATGTGTTGTGAATATGGACGATTATCAGGATGATTATTACAGTATGAAGGCCACATATTTTGATTCAAAAACTCTCTCTGTGGGACAGATGAGAATATGGTCTCTATCAAATTCTTAGACTACAAAAATAATAGTTACTATATGTTATTATTGGCTTCCATATATATCAGTTATGGAGTAGCTTTTACAGCTTATTGTGAATATCAGGTACCGTAAGTACTAAGAGTAAACAAGACAATAAATTTTTAGTTATTTCTTAGAGGCTGGTCTTTGGAAATATGGAATGTTACATTGAAAATAAGTTTTGATAAAACTGGAAGGTTAAGCTGATTCACAGGCATTTTTGTCAAAGGCATTTCAATGGTGAAATACGAGTCCTAAGCTGTTTGTGATAATTCTGCTGCTAAAGAATTCTATCCTATTCTATATTAGTATGAGCAATGCTAGTTTTACGAAGACACATACAAAGGGGGCATACAAAGACAATCTCTACCTTTGATTTTCATGATTTCTCTCTCTCTCTCTCTTTTTCCGTTTTTTCTTTGTTTTTTTCTTCTTGTTGATGTCACTTTGTAACTCTTTTTGTATAGGTCTTTATAAGGATAGTATTTTTCTATTAGTATTACAGTTTATGGACTCTTAAATATGCTTTGAAACAGTTAATGGTGTCTTCTACGGTTTCTTTATTCAGATACTAGGAAAAGCATTGGGTGGTGGAGTCATACCTGTAAGTGCAGTTCTCGCCAACAAAGATGTAATGCTTTGTATTCAACCTGGAGAGCACGGAAGGTTTGCAGTTACAACTGCTGCTTTGAATTTGTTATTCAACCTGTAATAGTTTGTTGTCATCATTCTAACTTGTTATTGTTCTCAGCACCTTCGGCGGAAATCCTTTGGCCAGTGCAGTGTCCATTGCCTCACTAGATGTTATCAAAGATGAGAAACTAGCTGATAGGTATTAGAATTCCATTGCTTAATATCTTGTTTCAAGATTACATGAAACTACATTTGGAAAACAAAATAATTAACTCTTGATAAATTTTTGTATTATTATATTACTTTTTCTGAATATTTGTTTAAATGGTAGATAATCTCAACATTACTGCTGGTCTTATGTCATAGTAATAAAAGTTTTGACATTAATTCAGCTGATTTCCATTAAGAAGTCCTTGATTGGGGTGCATCTCTTTTGTCGTATAGTTTGGCAGATAACTCTCAGATATCCGTAGCATAATCCTTCCACCTTTTTTTGTTTTCTTTCCATCATTATTCTTTAGATAGTACCGGAAGACCCTTGAGTCTAATCTATTCAATCAAACTATAGTGTTACCCTTGGAGACAGAATTCTACAGTATATTAAAGTTCTCAGTATAAGAAAAAAAATTTCTATATTATAAAAATTCTCAACTTGAATTCATATATTTTCATTTTCATTATTTTGTTTTCCTTCGAAAGAACTGAAACAGAGATTTCTATTTGCTTATTTCCTATTTTACAGATCTGTGCATTTAGGAAAGGAGCTTAGGCATCGGCTGCTTAAAATTCAGCAGCAATTTCCCGACTACATTAACGAAGTCCGAGGAAGAGGACTGTTCAATGCTGTGGAGTTTGACAGCAGGGCTTTGTCTCCTGTTTCTGCATATGACATCTGTCTAAATATGAAGGAGAGAGGAGTTCTTGCTAAGCCCACACATGACACTATAGTCCGCTTAACTCCTCCACTCTCCATAAGGTATCAACATTCAATAAAGTTTCATGCCAGTTTCTACAAGCATAATGTGAGGTGTTTTTTTTTACTTGAATCATATTTACCACTTTTGCCAATCAAAAAGTTTGACAACCCACAACATATTTTGCTTTATTGGTGGACCTCAATAAAGAAAGATTGACATATATATTTGATAACATCTTGTTCTTAAATTATTACTGATCTGTGGCTGAAATGCTGAATTATACGCTCCAAATGTCAGTAAACTCATCCACAGATTTTGGTTTACATTTATACTGATGTGAGCTGGTGTAATTTTCAGTTTGGATGAGTTGGAAGAAGGGTCAAAGGTGCTGCATGATGTTTTGGAACTGGATTTACCAAATATGAAGAAGGCCAAACCACCAAAAGTTTCCCCAACTGCTTCTACCACTTGTCACCGTTGTGGCCGGAACCTGTAATGCTTCTTCTTCACACAAAAACATCTATGAATACCATATGTCTCTTAAACATAATGTTATAATCAATTATGTGATCATATTATAATGTAATATTATAATGAATTAAGTAATCATACTATAAATCTTTAATGTAATATTATAATTAATTAAATTTCTAATCATTTAATTAAGTATTGTCCTAATGTTTATAATGGAATGTTATAATTAATTAAGTAATTATTTAATTAAATAATCATTTGTTTATAACGTAATGTTAAGATTAATTAAGTAATCATACTATAAATTTATAATGTAATGTTATAATTAATTAAATTTCTAATCATTTAATTATGTAATGTTATAATTAATTATGTGATCATACTATAATGTAATGTTATAATGAATAAAGTAATCATACAATAAATTTTTAATGTAATATTATAATTTATTAAATTTCTAATAATTTAATTAAGTATTATACTAATGTTTATAATGGAATGTTATAATTAATTAAGTAATCATTTAATTAAGTAATCATTTGTTTATAATGTAATGTTATAATTAATTAAGTAATTATATTATAAATCTATAATATGATGTTATAATTAATTAAGTTTCTAATTATTTAATTAAGTAATGTACTAGATTACTAATGTAATGTTATAAGCTTATAATTAATTAAGTAATCATTTAACTATAATATAATTATATACTTAGAACTTGATAATTGAAGTAAATAACTAAATATTATATTATTATTCAATCAAATATACTATTTTATTCAAAAATAATTCTTTTAATAACATTAAAACAATTTTAATTTGTCCTAATTCCAATTATACACTTAATTGATCAAAACTTTAATATTAATATATTATATTATATTAAAGTTTTTTATATGGTTTAGTTTATATGTAATAAGTATAATTGTATATTTAATTAGGTTATTAGAAAAATTTAACTTTTTTCCATTTTAAATTTTTTATATGTAAAATTATGAGACCCCCCATTCTTCACAGATATTTTATTTCAGCTTAGGTTCCAAAACAGGGTACTTGCTGTAGGTTCCAAGTCGGGTACTTGCTGCAGGTTCTTTTTTTCCAGGTTCCAGTTCCAGTTCTGGTTCCTCCACATGTAAGAACTAGAACCAAAACCACACAGTGTCGGTTCCAAAAAAGTGAAACCAGAACCTATACGCATAATGTCGGTTCCAAAAAAGTGGAACCAAAACCTACCCGCACAGTGTTGGTTCCGAGTAGCTTCTAGTTCCAGTTCTGGTTCTACCCGCAGGTTCTGGTTCTATCCGCTACCTGTGCTCACCCCTACGTTCTTATGCCCCACTTAATACCTAAAATACCCATAAAATACTTAAAATCCTTTTTTTTTTTTTTTTTTGGGTAAACCCGGTAATTGCCTATCCCATGACTCGAAATAAGACTTTTAGGTATAGTTAACCCTAGTAACTAAAGGACTCGTCATCCGATCACAAGGAAAGATGTAAAATACTTGAAATCCTTTTTTTACACCATTTCCAAATTTTAGTTCAGACTTGGTTTTCTATTGTGTTTGTATTCCAACCCTAAGTTTTTTTTACTTTGTTTCTTCATCGTATACATTATTGGTTGTGTTGATACACTTTATTCAATTTATTGAAGGTAGGCATTAAATTTCCTACGATTTTAACTTTAAATTTTATTTTATTTTGTTAAAACTTTTCCCTTAGGTCATGTTTGGTTTGTGGATTAGAAATTGATGGACCGAAAGTATGATGAATGGAAATCAATGAAATGAAAGTACTATGAATGAATAGGATAAGATTAGTTTATTTGGTTGTAAGACATGACAATCTTTGACCTATACCCGTGGGTCCACGGGTGCCCGGGTAAAACAAGCGGATATGAGTGTCCATAATATTTATCCGTTTCAAAATTACCCGTATCCGGCCCGCTCATAAAAATTGCGGGTGGGCTAAGTGATGCTCGTGGGTACCCACACAAAATTAAAAAAAAAAAAAAAATTAAAATAGTCTTCTCTCCTTTCAACTCTGCATCACTCTCTCTACCAAACAAACAAACAAATATTTTTATTCTCTTTTCTCGAGATTCAATTCAAAGTTTGGAATGACGATTTCAGTTTCAGCTTCAACAATTTCTTCCTTGAGCACTAAAGCTTCTTCTAGAAACCTCTCCAAACTCTCATCGCTATCTTCTCTGCAACTCCTTGTATAGTTCTGTCATATTCAAATTATTAACAATAGCCGGATTTCATCTCCCTCCCGGCCTCATCCTCTAGTACTTATTTGATTTGTGTTTTGTTCAGCTAAAGAAGAAGGGGTTTGTCTAAAGAAGAAGGAAGAGAAATTGGGTTTGTATGAAGAAGGAGGAAGAGAAAGGTTGTTGGGATTCTAAAGAAACAAGATTTGTGGCTGTGAGCTAAGGAAGAGAAAGGTTGTTGGGATTGTTGAACTTTCTCTCTCTTACTAGTTTTTACTTTGTGGGTTGTTTTTGCTTACGGTAGAATTTTCAGGCTTTAACAAAGAGAGGCGATGGGCTAAGCTTAGTCTCCGATGGGAAATAACAAAAAACTGGAAAAAAAATTCAGAAAAGTCCATTTTATGCGGGTGACTCACGGGTCGACCCGTACTCGTACAGACGGGTACAAGTCATGCATTTCCTGACCCATGAAAATTTTTTACCCATGCATGTTTTGCCTGTTACCCGTAATTACTCAACCCGTACCCATTCGGCCCACTTGTTTGCCAGTTCTAGTTGTAATATACTAATATGGAATGGAAAACAATTGATTGCTTTTGGATGAAAATGCCCTTAATTTATTTTATTTAATAAATACATTTTTTTATTTTTTATTTAAATATAAAATTTTAAATATTTTAAAATAAATGAAATTTCAAAATATTTTTTAAAAATTCAAAAATTTTTAAAAATTTCAAACCGGTCAACACTGGTCAAACTCGCCCAACAAATTTGCCCCACGCTTTTAGCGTCATCTCTGGTGTGCGCGGAATCAACGATTGGTGATCTGGGTAGATCCTGCGGCTTAAAACCAATGTTGTGATGTATGTGCGGTGGTATTTATCATGGCTTCGGCGCGTGACGTTATGACATCGGAATCTGCCCAAATTGGTAGATCATTAGTCGTTGATTGCTTACGCCCCCACGGTGACACTAGCTGCGTGACAGAAATTTGCCATCCAGTGAATTTAATTGGTGTTGACTGATTTGAAGATTTTGAAAATTAATTTCTTTTTTTGAAAATTCTTAAAATTTCAAAATATTTAATCATTAATATTTTTAATAAAATAATTATTGAGGTATAAATAATTTAAATTTAAATATATTGATTTAAAGGTAAAATGGGAAATCAAAATTTAAAGAAGGGGTAAATTAGATATTTTAGTCAGCCATTTCTGGTAATGGATGACATTCCTCCCAAACTTGGGAGGTATCCCACACGACTCTTTTTTAAGGAATAAAATTTATATTCCTTATGCAACTCTTATAAACCAAACAAGGAATAAGGAATAAGATTTTCTATTTCTTTGTCCATTACTTCCAATCAAACATAATCTTATAGTTTAATTTGTTTTAGAAATCATCATGTTGTTTTTGAAATTATAATCAAACAATTAATAATAATTTGGGATAAATTAGAAGTTTTTAATTCATATGTAAGAATAGGGTTAGAGTTTATATGAGAAATGGGGATTCATCATTCATGATATATATATATATATATATATATATATATAAAATAGTGGTGCACTCAAGAACAATATTATTGTTTATAGTAGTTTATTTAAGGTTAAAATTCTCAAAACTGAAGAAATTAAAAAAATGGGGACTACTTAAACATAGAATGGTAGCTAAAAATCACTTCCCTAAATTTAATAAGGGCCAGCAAGAGATAACAATGAAGCATGGTTGTACTTAATCTCTTCCGAGGGTCTAAGGGGATTTGTAGATACTTTGTTTCCAAATCTCATTAAAGAGTGATGATCTGAAATTCTGCACCAACTAGAATATCGATACAAAATTCCTCATCAATTGGAGGTACTCGGTTAACTGTGTTGGAACCGAGCAAGATGGGTGCGTGACTCCAGAGAGTCAATGCTGAAGACTATGTCAATGCATGATCATGGATGAGGTTGAAACGGATGTCCCAGAAAATGATGCAAGAGTAGGAACTTTTAAAGTGGTTCGGCTAGGAGAAAACAAAGCCTACATCCACTATTTATTCTTGAGTATGAACTGAGCAACAACCAAAGGTCCCCCTTTTCTTTTCTTCCTTTCTATTTATATGGAGTACTGACAGTGTCATGATGACGGGTAAGTCAACTGGGTCGTCATGATTTAGACGGCAGCTAGAGGCTCACATGCTCCCCAATGACAAGGAATGTTGGTGTTCCCCTCGACATGAGGCGCTTTTATAGGCTTTCTGTCGACTTAGTTGCATGAAAGGCATGTGGAGCCTACTTGGCCACGTGCCATCGATCGGGGTAGGCAGCGTACACATGGCAAAGTGGTTTGGTTGAATGGAGGGATGATTCGTACAATGAGTTTCTTTGCCCACCTCGCCAAATGTCATGTTCTCTATCTATCTCTATTCCCGGGCTCGATACCTACCTTGTGTGGAGATGTACTCCAAGCTCTTTAAGTGGTTTTGAGCTGGCGATCTTTACTGCACAACAAAGAGTTTAGTAAACTTGTCGATAATCATAATTTAGTTTTTACTTTTATCTTTTATCTTTTTTTTTTTTTTTTATATCTTGCTCTACTTGAAACTAATTATTGGTATATCATAGTTACTATAAAAAAACAAATTAAAGAATCCATGTTTTTTAGCATAATTTTTTTAATATGATCTTTTTATAGTATTGATAAAGAGATAGTTATTATATATGTTATAATCTTAGTAATATAAGTGTAACAGATTAAGGAAGACGAAATGCTAAGAAAGTAAAGTCGAAAGAGGGCTGTAAAACTTCTATTCTTTTCACTTCATTGTAATAGTAAAATGAAGGTGAGGGGGGCTTTTTATAGCCAATGCCTCCTC